CAGTCCTCCTAGATTCCAGAAAAGGTCTATTTTTAGCACTTGTACCTGGGGAACTGTATCCCATCTTCTAGGAATGGAGAAGTACCCTGAAAGGAGGCAGCAATTACTGGGAGGCCTTCAGGGCAAAAACCAGACATTCATCTGTGTGAGTTTATCTGAGGCATCTGCAGATTTTGTCACCAATGAGGGGCCCTGGAACCAATCTTCCACAAATACTGAGGGATGACTGCATTTACAAATCTTGTACCTTATATGGTACAATATTTTATTCAAAATATAGAAACCAAGACAAATATAACCCAATTTCAAAATATGCGAAGGGGTTAGGGGCAGTGGCTCACATCTGTAATCTCAGCTACTTAAGAGGCAGAGATCAAGGGTCATGGTTAGGGGCCAGCCCAGCCAAAAAGTCAGTGAGATTTCTATCTCAACAAACCAGCGAGGCGTGGTGATGCATACCCGTACTCCCAGCTACGCAGGAGACATAAGTAAGAGGACGGTAGTCTAGGCTGCTGCTGGGCAAAACCATGACACCCTCTCCAAAAATAACTAAAGCAAAAAAAAGGTTGAGGGTATGGCTCAAGTAGTAAAGCACCTGCCTGCCAAGCATGAGGCCCCAAATGCAAAATGCAAACTCCAATACCACCACCACCACCACACACACACACACACAAAAAGCAAAGGATTTGAATAGAAATTTCACCAAAGGAGATATACAAATACAAATGACCAGCAAGCATAAAAGTAAATGAGGAAGCAGACCACCTTTTTGTAATTAACTCCACACTGGGGACTAGTTTTGGGACCGTTCCAGGCAAAGGATGTTTGCAGGAGAAAGGCAGTGGTCTGACAGGGAAAGAACAGAAGCAGTCCTCCTAGATTCCAGAAAAGGTCTATTTTTAGCACTTGTACCTGGTCATAAAATTAAAAAAAAAAAACAAAGTCATAAAATTAAAAAAAAAAAGATTCTAAGCCTGCTAGAACCACAAATGAAAACTGCATTACTTTCATTTTTTTTTTTTGGCAGTACTGTGATTTGAACTGAGGGCCTCAAGCTTGCTGGGCAGGTAGTTTGAACTCAAGCCCTCCAGTTTGCTGGGCAGGCGCTCTACCACTTGAGCCCCACGCCCCTGCATTAATTCCTTTCCTGGAATCATGGAATATCTTATATGAAGAGAGTCTGCGGAAGTAAAGATGCCTGCCACTCTTCAGCAGCAACTACTGTAGGTGGAAAAGAGGCTCTTGGGGGAAATACAATTAAAACACAATCTCCCAGCTTGAACTCCTCTCCAGAAAGGGAGAAGCAAAACACTTAACGTCATGCACATCACATGAAAAACAAATTAAAAGCAAGAGGATGTGGTTCAAGTGGTATAGCATATTCCTAGCAAGCCTAAGACCCTGAAAAAAGAAAAGTAAACAATAGCTAGTCCTCATGTAGGAGGACTTGCTAGCACGCACTATTTCTCCCTCATAGTCCATCTCAACTTCATAGGTGATAACTGGAGTGAACTTTTACCTTAGTCTTTATCTAGAGGAAAACTAAACTCCTATAATGACACCTGACAGTTTTGCAATTTACAGCAAGGTGCTGACATTTATGGTGCAAAGAGAGAGAGGGCTTCTGCGTCCTAGAGAAAGATATTCCTAGGTCATAACGCAGACAAAAAGCCAAACTAGTCTTCAGAAGGATTTATGTACATTTCAAAGAGAAATTACAGTAATTACAAGCTTTCAAAGTAGATGCTCAAAGAAGGGAGCGCAGGAGAATCTACTATTTAACAGGAAGGACTAAGCCTCTATTTTTTGTCAGTACTGGCACATGAACTCAGGGCCTTTGGCTTACTAGGTAGATGCTCTACGAAAAGCCAAGAGCGTCTTATTTTATATTTGTATTTGTCTTTTTACTCCCCAAACGCTACCAACCCAACCTGTAGATAGACAGAGGTTATTGCTGACTACAGGAAGGGAGAACACGACCTCGGAAAGCTTTAGCAGTGGCTGAGAGGAGGAAGGTGAGATCAGAATTTATGGAGAACTGCAGTTTAATTTAGACCATGTCTTTCATAGCGGAGTTTTAATTAGGATAGAGTAAGGATCGGTACGAAACATAGATTTCGGGACGAAAGATTCAAAGAGTCTCAGGGTATAAGCGTTTCCTTTGAAAAGCAGATAGGTCCCTGGCTAAGTTTCGTACTGAACACCATTCAGAAAAATGAGCAGTGCAAGGCTGAAGGTGAGGTGAGGTTCCGATCCCGGGGCGCCAGGTCCACAGCAGGGGCAAGGACACTGCAGAAGCGGGCGCACCGCCTGGCCGCAGTGTCCTGCAGAAAACTTCAAGGACTCGCACCGCCCCCGGTAGCCGCTGTGCGTGAGTGACTTGCCCCGAGCCCTCGGTCGCTGGCTCTCCGTGGAGTCACCGCGACCACGGACGCGGCCCGGTATCATACCTGCGATCCTCTTGGAAACCAGTCGCCGGCCACGCAGAGCTACGTGACTAGGAAGCTAGAGGTGCTGAAAACCAAGCAAACAAGAGTGGACAGGAATGAAACCACACGGCTGACATGTTCACCTGACCTTCGGCGACTGGCTCCACCCCGTGCAATGGGCGCCGGAGTTGTGTTCTGCGCAGGCGCAGGCCTCGGCCCGAGGCTAGTGACGTAATCCGGCGCGTCAATCAGTAGCCCTGCCTCCGCAAATCCCGGACCATTTAACTGCCAGAACAACCTCCGCAGTCTGACGTACGCGCGCAGCCCCGCCCCTGCCCGCGAAGAGGCGGGACCTGTGGGGGGCGGGGCAGTGCCCGAGAGGGCCAATTGGTGACTCCCTCGCCGGCCCCGCCTTGTCCCCTTTTGGGCAGGCTGTTCCTGCGGGCCTGGTCCAGCGAACTGCCGCAGCGGCAGGGGCGCCGGCTGCAAGGTGAGCGCACCTTTTGCGGAGCCCCCCCCTCCCGGTCCCTCTCCACCCGCCGCCGCCTCATGGCTGTCGGGGGGAACGGCGGGCTTTGGGGATGCCAGAGCAGGGATGGGGGCCACTCGGGGCCAAGGGACAGACCGGATCCCAGCGGCCTTGGATGTCCTCATCGGGGAGGGGCACGTCCGGTCTAGGAGAGGCTTGACCCTGGTTGCAGTGGTTTGTTCTCTCTTTAGTCTTTCGAGAGGCTACTGATGGCCGGGGCGCCTTGGCCAGAGAGTGGTTGTGGTGGGAACTGAGGTAGAGTTGGGGCCGTGCGGTCCAAGCGACGATGACGACCAGGGCTTTAAGCCCAGCTGGAGAACCTGATGGACTGCGGAGAGCGGGGCTTCTGGGGAGAGTCCTGGTCCTGTGGGCCCCAGAACCCGGGAGTTGCTTGCAGACGTTTGTGCAGATGCTTGGAGCACTAGGGGGTGGCCAGAATGCCAATGAGTTGCAGTGGGACATTTAGCTGTCACCAGGCCGCAGATAACCCCTCGCCATGACTGATACCTGCTCCCCTGGCAGGCTAACTAGGAAATGCTCAGAACCCAGTTTCTTATTTGAGAAGTCGCTCCCAGGCTGCGACTTAAGGTTTTATGTCCCTTCGAGGACGGTTGGCAGAGGTCTGGGGAAGTCAGGGCGGGCACTAAGGGCATCAGACTAAGAGAGCCTTCTACAGCCTTTTGTTGCCAGGCGTGGGGCTGGGTCCTTGAGGCTGTTGCCTAACCTCCACCCCCATCCCGGTATATCCTTTACTTAGGATTCCTCCATGTTCTGTTTACTGTGCAGTCTCTTTCCGGCCACATTGCACTAGCCTCCTAGGTGCTGGTTTTACAGTGGCAGGCTGAGGCAGCCTTTTATGTTTGGTGGCTGGGGGCTGTGGAGGGCAGGATCTGTGATGGGACTGGAGAAGGGTGGGCCTGTTTTTTCAGAGACTGTGACCCATCTGCACTAGACATGTTGCATCCTAGCCGATGTCTTAGATCTAGGTGAAGGAGGTTAGGAGGAAGATAGTGCTTTGGATGGTGGAGACTTAAGGAGCCACAGCAAACTTGGAAGAGGAAGGTAACTTGAGGAGCAGAAGGTTGGGGTGAATCTAGGGGAAAAGCACATGCTCAGGCAAAGCAGAAGAATGAAGATGGTGTGGGGGGTTTCCTGGAACCCGGGAGAGGAGGCCTTTTGAGTACATCGAATCTGTAAAGGTAGCTCTTTGAGTTTGCTTAGTTTTCAGTTGAGCCTAGAGAGCCCCATCAATCTCAGGCTCAAGTCCCCACCAACCACTTAGTGAATTGCCTTGTTAGTTCGTCATCTGTGAAATGGGGATCACAGGCATCTTCGCCTCTGTGGGAAGCTAACAACAGTTAGCAAGTTTCAGGCATGGCTGGGCTGTAAGCACTTGACATGCTATACTCCTTGAAGCCTCACAGTAATGTATGAGCCTTCTATTGAGAAAGAAGCTAAGGTTCAGATTACCTGTTCCAGGTGACACTGTTGTAAAAGTATGGAACTGGCATTATTTCAGTAGAGTAACAGTAATTCAAAGTGAACTGTGTTTAGGGGCATTGGAAATGGGGGTAGGATTGTAAGCAACTTTTCCAGGAAGTTTTCCTCATGGAAAGTACTTTATTTTTGTTGTTTTTAGCAGCAGAAGTGATTGTCTAAGCTTTGTCCTAGACAGTGGTGGCCCTGTGTTTCATTTTCTTTATCTGATTTCCTGATCATAGAAGTAGACATTTTTGTTGCCATAAATTCTGTTACAGCTGTGGAATGTGTCTGAGCAAATTAATGTATTTCACTAGTTATAGCTTTAATCATTTGTTTGTTGTTGGGGAAATCTCGCCAGTACTGTGTTTTCATGCAAATATTAGCATATGACAATGATTCCAGAACATAAGACAACTGCTGAATCTTTAAATGAGAAAAGCTGGCTTATTAATCAGTATCTGTCTTTTCAAAAACTAAAGTAAACCTTATAACTTCTAGTCCTTTTACTCCAGTGGTTTTGAAGGTATGACATAATTCTTGTTTTTGTTTTCAAAGCCATTTTTGGAAAGGAGAAAGATGGAAAGTGGTGCAGTTCTGCTGGAATCCAAGTCCTCACCCCTAAATCTTCTGCATGAGATGCATGAGCTCCGCCTTCTGGGGCATCTGTGTGACGTCACAGTTAGTGTGGAGTATCAGGGTGTCCGGGAAGACTTCATGGCCCATAAAGCAGTGCTGGCGGCCACAAGCAAGTTTTTTAAGGAGATGTTCCTTAATGAGAAGAGTGTGGATGGTACCAGGACTAATGTCTATTTAAATGAAGTGCAAGTTGTTGACTTTGCTTCATTTCTGGAGTTTGTCTACACTGCCAAGGTACAGGTAGAAGAAGATCGGGTGCAGCGGATGCTGGAAATGGCTGAAAAGCTAAAGTGTTTGGACCTGTCAGAAACATGCTTTCAGTTAAAGAAACAGATGTTAGAATCAGTCCTTTTGGAATTGCAGAATTTCTCTGAGTCTCAGGAGGCAGAGGTGACTAGTGGTTCCCAGGTCAGTGTTGCTCTGGGCTCCAAGACAAGTGCAGCTGCAGCTGGGGATTGCGCTCATTCCAACGGCCTTGTGGATTCTGCAGATTACCCAGTGGAGAGAATCAGCAATGACCTGCCTAGAGACCTGCCACCCAGGAAAACCAAGGAGAAACTAGACAAGAAAAAAGATGTGGCTAAGCCTCCCTATCCGAAAATCAGAAGAGCTAGCGGCAGGCTGGCTGGAAGAAAAGTTTTTGTGGAGATCCCTAAAAAGAAATACACAAGAAGACTCCGAGAGCAGCAGAAAAGTGGGGAGGATGATGTGGGGGATTATAGCTGTCCCCAGGACCAAAGCCCAGACAATGTGGGGGCAGAGATGGAGCCAGTGGTATCAAAGGAGGGTTGCAGCTCCGGTGTGGAGTTGGACAAGGTGCTGCACAAAGCATCGGGGGAGGGGGAGGAAGGGGAGAAGAAGAAGGACATCTTCCTGTGCGCCCGCTGCCAGAAGGCCTTCCAGTATGAGAAGAGCTTCTTGAAGCACATCAAGCACCACCACGGCGTGGCCACCAACGTGGTCTACTGCTGCGACACTTGTGGCCAGACCTTCGCCAACCGCTGCAACCTGAAGAGCCACCAGCGCCACGTGCACAGCAGCGAGCGCCACTTTCCCTGTGAGCTGTGCGGGAAGAAGTTCAAGCGCAAGAAGGACGTGAAGCGGCATGTAGTGCAGGTGCACGAGGGTGGTGGCAAGCGGCACCACTGTGGCCAGTGCGGGAAGGGCCTGAGCTCCAAGACGGCCCTGCGGCTACACGAGCGGACGCACACGGGCGACAGGCCCTATGGCTGCACCGGGTGCGGTGCCAAGTTCTCGCAGCCATCTGCCCTCAAGACCCACATGAGGTAGGCAGCAGGATGGCGGGACCAGAGCAGGGCTGCCTTGTATGCCGGGACTGCTGTTCTTGAAAGGCGCATTGGGAAATTGAAGGGGTTCTAGGGTTTGGACCAGCATAGCTATGTCTCTAGATTGTTCACTTCTTACTCAGTTCCCTCTAAGAGTTGGGAGACTATTTTGAGGCAGCTGTGAATTCTCTTTGGAGGTGGAGAGGCCCATACAGGTGGTTCTTCTGCTCTTGGAAACCCCTTGGGCTAGTGGGGCCCTTGTCTCTCCTCCCTGACATGTTTAGGCACGGAGGCCTGGATATGGCAGAGCAGAGCCACCCACAAATCTCACTGGCAGCTGTTATGTACAGCTCCATACTTGAGGTTCCTCCAGACTTGAGGAAGAGTCAGGACTACTTAATCCTGATTGTTCTTTGCCTCACTGTTTATTTCGAATGTGGTACCCTTACAATAAGGGTTCCACAGTCCCATTGTTCAGTGTGGTGACATCTAGGGCTTCAGGACACCTCTCTGCTCTTACCTTTTAGTTCTTAGAGCTTGTAAGGTGTGCCACCATGTTAGTCTGAACTCGGTAGTCAGGATGGGCCAAGCTTTCTGTTAATTTGCTTTTGAACTATAGTTGAGCTTTTAAATGTTTCCTTGTAGTTTTCAGTATATATGTTTGAACTCTAGATAAGCAGTTTTCTATTGTATTCTAGGTCTGCCTTCAAACCTAGGCCAATCTTTGGGGAGGTGGCATGGCATCCATCATCTTTTACTCTTTAGAAGCTTAAAATTCTTGTTTAGGAAGTGCTCAGTGAAGCATGGCTGATTGCTACTTCACTTTGGTTGTGAAATTAAAAATGCTTATGCACGCTCCTCAGAAACCAAGTTCCTTCAGCATTTTGAGAGCAGCTCTCCTTTCTAGACTGGTTATGTTGTTATGAACTGATGGTAAAATCTTTGATCACATAGTACTTCGTCAGCAATAGTTCCTAAGGTGTTTTGGCTAATTTTTCTGAATGAGGAAACATCATGAATATTAGACAGCACTTCTTAGTATTTAAAAATTAGGCAAAGGCATGGTCTCTACTTGCACACATTTTACAGCATAAATAAGGCCCACGAGCAGATGTGGATGATTTTTAGCGGTTCCACATTGGAATGTGAAATCAATGGAAATATGTCAATTTATTGGTCTTGCACAGAAACTGCACCGATTTTGGGATGGAGATCATGGGCTCTCGACCTGTCCCTTTGTTGGAGTAAACAAATTTTTGCAGGATAGAGTGGAAATTGTATTGCAAAGTGAGCTTTGAAATACACCCTAAGTTATCATCTGAATGTTGTACTTTCAGAATTCATACAGGGGAAAAACCCTTTGTCTGTGATGAATGTGGTGCAAGATTCACTCAGAACCACATGCTGATTTCTCATAAAAGGTCCCACACAGGTAAATACCTATGCTGTTGTGATTGAATGTCTTTGCTAGCTGTAGAAGGAAACTGCAATTGACTCATTTAGAAGTTGGCATCTACCAAGGTGGTACATGTTAAAACCATGCTACAGCTTTTCCATCGTGAGCAAAAATGAGTACAAATATACCTGTTACCCACAGTGCTGATGTGCACATGACCATGGCCTCTACACCACCAGCAGGATCTGGCATCTGGATCTTAGAGGTCAAGAAGTATGAAACAGTTCGTATTGTTTTAGCTCCAAATTTCATATCCAGGAATCTGTCCTAAGGGAATTGTCCAAAATGTGAGAAAAACTATGCTATTACTTGCTTCTTACTATTTTTAATAACAAGAATTACAGACAACCCAATTATCCAACCACAAAGAATGGTTCATTAAACTGGTAAATCCATCCCTTAGGTCATGACCTAGCCAGAGGAGGACTCTGAATGGTGGATAATGAACTTAAAAACACACACGCATACAGATAATCCCAACTATATTAAAAACCTATATATACAAGAGCAGAGGAAAAGAAATTATGTGATAAACTGTCATATTAAGGTGATGGGATTATTTCCTTTCTGTTTCCAAAGTCTTTGTGATGTGATTTATCGTATCATGAGGGAGAACATTTTTTAAGTTGACTTTATTTTGGTTGAACACAGTAAGTCGAGGTCCAAAATCTTGATGTGAATGAACTATACAAAAGCATCAGAATCTGTCACTGTACACTACAGTTACTATAATCCAGTTCTTTGCTTACATACTTTTACTTTTAAGCACTATCACACAAGCCTCAAGTTCAGTTGCAGATAAAACAGACATGAGGCATGTAATAATGTGAATTACTAAACTGCAGAATGAGCAGAATTGGTGTCCAATAGAAATTATGGGATGGAAGCAATGTCATGTCATATTAAGGAACTATTAGAATTGGTCATTTTATGAGAATCTTAATGTATTATTAGTCAATATTTTTTAATGTTTCTGAAGTCAGCAGCATGACTATTAACTAGATGAGTCTAGCTGTGAGACTAGAGGACTTAAATTGCAAAAAGATGGCATTTAAAACCATTTCTTGTCCTGCAGTCCAGTCAAGTTGATTAGGGCTGCTACTCTAGAAGGTATACGTAATAGTCCATTATAGACTTCCTCTGCTTTTCAGAGAGACTTTTATTCTGATAAACATTCTCAAAAGTGCCTCCCTGAAAATAATCCAACTTCCCCAAAGAAGAAATGAAATTGTTTGGAATGACTAAATTTTTAAAATGTGAGCTGGCTAAATGACTTACTCTTTGATTCTCATCCAAAAGAATGTTTTTTTTATTTCCAAGGATATTTTATACCACTTTCAGAAGTAGCAAATGTCTTACATGAATGTTATTAATGAATAATTTTAATTAGAAAATGTCACATGCTGCCCACCAAGGGTGCTAAGAATGTGGACCTGCTCTTCCCTAGTGTTTGTAATACCTGCATTGTCTCTAATTTTATTTCATCTTTTCATGTAGGTGAAAGACCTTTTATGTGTGAAACATGTGGCAAGAGTTTTGCTTCCAAGGAGTACTTAAAACATCACAATAGAATCCATACTGGATCCAAACCCTTTAAATGTGAAGTGTGTTTCAGGACTTTTGCCCAGCGGAATTCCCTTTACCAACACATTAAAGTTCACACAGGTATGGCTGCAATGTCCCTGAGAAGAGAGTTGGGTTTGGCAAGGAAAACAGTCTTTCTAAAATTATTTGGAAGCATTAGGAGGAAAATGGCCAAACTTCATGTCATAATGGCATTTTTTAAACTTTTGAGTTTCTAGAAGCACTTATGTGTACAAACAGGGGACAACCAAGACCCTTTGCAGTGTGGAGTTTTTATTGAAAAGGTCAAACAGCTCACCTGTGATGTGAATGTTTTGAATATGGATGTGCATATAGATTCAGTTTTTGGTAGTATTGGGGTTTGAACTCAGGGCCTTATATTTGTTAGGCAGGTTTTCTACCACTTAAGCAAAATCCTCCCACTCCCCCAGCCCAGATTAACATTTCTTAAATGGGGATAATGAAATATATGTTAGGGTATGTCTACACAAGCACACTTAGTTATTATGGGACTTGCAATTTCCTTTTCCATTACTATGGTAAGCAGGTGTCATTTCTACAGATAGAGTACCAACTGTAGGCATTAATTTTGGATTGCTTTTGGTATAGTTGTAAACTCTTGGTATTATGGGACAGCAGATTGGTGTCCCTGTCAGTTGGCCTTCCCTAGGTGCGGGCACTGAGCCTCTCTAGGGGTTTGCAGACATGATTTCAGAGTGCACTCAGAATTAAGTACAGTGGACTAAAGATATCACCCAGTCCTTTTTTCTCTTCCTACTTCAGGCGAACGACCCTACTGTTGTGACCAGTGCGGAAAGCAGTTCACCCAGCCCAGCGCCCTCCAGCGCCACCATCGCATTCATACAGGAGAGAAGCCATTCATGTGCAATGCATGTGGACGGACATTTACTGACAAGTCCACTCTCCGGAGGCACACCTCAGTAAGCGACAGGGTAGCCTGTTTGAGAACGAAACCCTGCTAGCCATTAGATGTGTAAATAACCCTGAATAGCTAGAAATGCCTGTCACCATTCCTTCAGGGCAGGAGAGGAGGTAACAGCTGTTCTCTTCTCGGGTGTTCTCTGCAGTCAGTACATGAGAAGAAAGACCAAGAACAGCTAAGTCCATAATAAACACCTTCCAACAGTGGCAGCTGTGGTAGGCAGTTGTTTAACAGAGGAAGTAGGTTTCACTGCAATGGGAACCAAATTTAAATTGAAGAGATTATGTTTATTTCTTTTATTCATTAGTTTTGGTGGAACTGGTGTTTGAACTCAGGGCCTCAACTGTGCTCTTACCATTTGAGCCATTCTTCTTTTTGTTTTTTGGAGACCAGGATCTCATTGTATAGCCTGAGCTGGCCTCAAACTCACAGTCCTCCTGCTTGAGCTTCCTGGGTACTGGGATAAGAGGCATGTGCCACCACATCTGACTATAAAGAGACTATTGTTTTAAAAGATGTACTTGTTATTAATAAATCTATGTCAATTGGGAGATTTACAGAGATGCATGTAGTGACTTGTGTTTTGTGTTTTGATTTGTAGATACATGATAAGAATATTCCATGGAAGTCTTTCCTTGTTATTGTAGATGGCTCACCCAAGAATGATGAAGGGCACAAGACAGAACAGCCTGATGAAGAATATGCGTCACCCAAACTTTCGGATAAATTACTGTCTTTTGCAGAAAATGGCCATTTTCACAACCTGGCCACGGTGCAAGACAGCGTGCATGAGAACAGTTCTGCAGACACCACCTGTAAGGGGGATGACTCCCAGGACACTCTGCTTGCCACCACCATCAGTGAGCTTAGTGAGCTGACTCCACAGACAGACTCAATGCCAACACAGCTTCACTCTTTGACCAACATGGAATGAAAGCTTGCAGTTGTGTGCCAAGCTGTGCAAGACAGCTGTATTGTATGTGGCTCCAGGGGCTGAGAAAAATACCTGTGTGCAGAGATGTGGGCAAGAATGGCCTCAACAGATGTTCCTAAACTTCTACTTCCACTAACTTGCATGACTTTTATCAGACTACTTTTAAAACTTTCCCTTAAAAAATTCTGACCTGCTTGGTCTCAGCTACACTTTATCAGCAAACAAGCCAGTTAACTAAGCTCACTTACTCCTGGTGTAGACTGTATGCATTAATCATTTCTAATGCCTGATTCTCTTGATGTTTTAAGCCACTGCTTGTCTTAACTGCAGAGTACAGAGCACTGACCCAGCTAGTGAATTGCTGTTAATGGTCTTCCCAGTCTCACCCTGCCTTATACTTCCATGTGTTTACTTTTTTGATCCTTTTAAGGTATTTTTCTACCAAGCTGAAATAAAACTGGGTCCATGTATTTTCAGCTGTTTCTTCCTTGAGTTGAATCTAATCAGGTTTGTTCTGGGGACCTCTGGATGGGACTGAAGAAAGATGATAGCAGTCATTCCTCTCCAATCCCCTATTTGTAGGTAGTAAGAAAGGAATGGCAAATTGAACACTTTCAAAGCTTAGCGTATCTCTGCTCACAGCACATATGCAGCTAGGGAGTTTGTCATAAGACCAACTTTTGAAATGAGATGAGGCTGTTTGATTTCATTCCTAAAAATGTGATTAGGTAAAAAAAGCTGCCTACCAAAGAGTCTAGCAAAACAGTGTAGTATTTTTTGCAAAGATGAAGAGGCTTTAGAGTATGTGAGTGGTCATTTTATTCACAAGTAGCAAAATGAAGTGACTGGTGAATCTTAGAATACTGGTATTTTTGCTAGGTTTTTCTCTCAATTTCTCTAATTTCCAGAAACTCACTTACTCTTTTCCACACTGAGAAGTTGAAACAGGATGGCTGTTGCCACAAGACTGCTCTCTTGGGAGCATGTAAGAATCTAGAAAGGACCAGAAGCCTCGGCACATGCATCTCTTACTGTGCCTTAATAAGTAGATTATAAAGAACCAGTAATTTTGTCTTAAATGTTCTTTTGGCTGTTTCACACTGGACTTAATTTTTACTCAAGAAAATTCAGAGTGACAAGAGGATTCTGTTGTATTTGCTATTCCTGATGTTTGGTTCCAGGCCCTTGGGTGTGTGGCCATGTGCTGCTTGTCAAATGCTTTGATTCACATGTAACCCTTAAACATACTAATTTTAGAAGTGTGCCTTAAAGGGAGGATTCTTTGGTTTGCTAGTTGCTTTTCCCTCCTCCCCCCTGCCGTTTTTAATTTATTAAACTTGCTGTGAAAACATTTTAATTTTCTGAGAGGAAGTTACCTGTTCCTAAGTCCCAGGATGAAGACATGATTGCACTATGACAGAAACAGGGAAGACTTTCTTCCCCAGTGCCCATTGGTCGTAACTTAGAAGACATTTAACTAGTAAAGCCACCCAGTATGAGGTGTTTCAGGCACCGATGTTTCACATCTGCTTTTGAAGGCAGAGACTGAATTACTTCAAATTCAGTTATGACCTTGTCACTACATCCTAAGTTGTACTTACAGATAGCGACTGTCACATGACCATTTGAATATTGATAGGAGAATGAACCTGCCCAGCAGATGTAGTTTTATGGAATAAAAGTCATCTTGATGAGAAGGAATTTAAATAGTAGATTATTTTGTTATCTACAGAAGAATTTTTGTTTTGAAATATGTTTCTTTAGAAGTTCCACATGAAATTGCTTAATGTGTTAATAAATGTCTGCTTTATGAAAGTAGTTTGTAATTCTAAATTTATTTACATTATTATAACTTATGTTCTCTCAAAGTACTATTCTTAATTGGAACGTGCATAATGTGCTTAATAGCATAAATAATGAAATTTAAAACCAGGGTATGCAAGCCTTTACAGAGTGCACTCCAAGGGTTGATTTACTTAACTAACTGCTCAGGCTTCACAGAGGTCTCTGGAGAGGGGAAACATGGCCCCTGCTCACACAGCAGCCGGGGGCCATGCTGAGAGGGTATTTTAAGAGCAAGCCCACATTCTTCCCATCTCTTAACTGTATCGCCAAAAGGTACCAGATGACTAGCACATACATTCTCTTCCAGGGTGGGTAAAGCTGTCCACAGAGCAGAGAAGTCCATGAACCCTGTAGAAGACCCATTGCAAAGGACTTTGTGAGGTGTCCCCACTATTTTTCCTGATCTAGTCAGTACAGCTATGCTGAAAGTGAGGCTACCTTGAATGGGTCATTCCCAAGCATGTAAGGATGGCACCTGGATATGGCAACACTGCTTCTCCCAGGGAATCAATAAAGGTCACCGAGGAGGTGGATGGTGCCATTCCAACTATCTTTTGTTGTGACATTGGCATGGGCCAAACTCTAAAGGGCATTGCAGACTTTGGTTGTTACCAAGTTTTTTCATTGTACAGTTTTTAAAAAAAATGGGTCAAGAATTAAAGACCTTATGTGATTTTACTGTTGGTGACCACCCAAATGAGTGTTAAGTTATAATCAATTTTAACCTGTTAAAGGGTTGTACCTTGTCACACCAAGGAGTTCAGCCCTTGGGAACCAAATGGATGCTTGTCTATATAACCAAATTCAATGGTATTCTTGCACTTGGAAATACTATCATTGCAGTTAGGAGAGGGCACTCATGCAAAGGGCCTTTGTTCACATGCAACTGGACAGGAGTAGACAGGACTGAGGGCCATCCACTGTGGTACCCTAGGCTTTGATAGCCTTTTGCTAGGAAGCTGACTCTGAGAAAAGATATCTCAGTAATTAGACCTTTAATGGTCAACAGTTTCTCAGAATCTCTAGATTGGTATGGTCTGTTCTACCATTTATTTATTTATTTTTATTCATTTATTCATATGTGCATACATTATTTTGACCATTCATTTTTTAAAAATCTGCTTTTACATGAATTTGCATTTGCATGGGAAATCAAAGCTCTCTGACAAGATGATAGGACCCCATGAATGTTCTCTCCCTACAACTTCAGGGCCTAGTGGTCAGTGAGCTTGACACTCCCATAGGGGCATTGACTGTCTCCGCAGTTACCTTTAAGATTAAAATGAATGTCTATTACTACCTAACACCTCTTCCTTTCTCAGAAGGGAGTGTTAGGCTTTGGGATTCTCACATCTATAACTCAACCAGTCATCTAGTAGCCACTCCTCCATCAACTTTGCAGAACCCAAAGGATTCCTAATGAGAACATATGGTCAGCAGTTACCATACACACTGTCTTACATCAGAGGACAACCAGGGTTTCCTTCCAAACCAAAGCCTGCAAAACCATTGCAGTGCTCCAAAGTCCCATCAAGTGACTGAGGTGCAAAAAGCCTAAAGAATATTAATGGTTAAATTTCATGGGAATAACCTCAAAGAAAGGAAGCTGCTTTTTATATGTGCCAATTTAACTGGGAAAGACTACTCAAAATATTATTCATAATTTCCACTTTATTTACTGTACAAGTTCACAGAAAACCAACATATTCTTTCTGCTAAGGTAGATTTATTGTTACATGGTTAGTTTTCATTATGTATTTTCCTGCCGGAGAGCAACTCGGGATTTGACAAGGCAGGAAGCCTGCTACTGGTCACAGGGCATGCTGTGCTGCCAGATCCTCCAGACATAGTCACAAAGGCTGGCATTAGGACGTTTAAATGCACAACACCAGAGGAAACAAATGCACAAAGGCTGGTGCATATACTTTGGTTATAGTGATACCACCACACATGGTCACAACTGTGCAAAAATACTGTTTTCAAATCATTAAAAAAGGAATTCACACAAGCTATAAAAATGTTGCCACAAAAAGCAAAGCTTTCCTGTAAGAAAATTTAACTGACTTCAATTATGGACTAACCACAGATTTGCTAAAGTAGAAGAACTATAACATAAATGGCCATTGTATTTTTTTCATAAATAACATACTACAAATCTTGAAAGTTTAACTCCTACGCATCTGGACACATGGCACTGCCCTGCATTTGTGGGGCACGTGAAGGAGGTGAGTCTGTGCACTGTTGTCTGGGCTTTTTTCTCAATCTACTTTTATCTTCAGCAGGTCTGCTCTTGCCACAATAATTTTTATTCTTTTCATGTGAAGTATTAAAAACAAAAGTTAATTTCTTTTGAACTGGCCTTGAACTGATAATCCTCCTGCCTCAGCCTCCTGAGTTCTGGGACAAAAACAAATTCTTAACCCAAGCACTGATCCAAATGTTTATTTTAATATGGGCAAGCAACTAAGTGACAAGGCAAAATGACAAAAACACTTTTTTTTTTTTTTAAACCTACACCTCTTCTTCAAACAGGAGTCTGTTAGGGGATCATGATGAAAAGTAAAAAGAATTACCCTAAAAGACACCATGCAGTTTTTTACCTTAAATGGTCAGACCAGAAGATTATCTTAACAAGTGGAAACAAACTCTGTGAACTAGTGGTAACCCAGCACAATGGCTGGCAATTGTTCAAATGTTCTTATACGGAACCAACTTAGAATTGGAGGCCTTAAGCAACAGAACCATTCCCCATGCCTCATTTTTACAAATGTGCCCATGGCTGGTTAGGGAATATATTAAGTATGGCAGTAAGAACCCACTTTTCTCTGCTCATTTTTTTAGATATTCTAATTTCATGAGGAAGGACCAATTGCGCTCCATTCCAAATTTTACCTTCAGTGACCACTGGCTTTCATTAAAGAATCCCAGAACTTTGAAGGCAAAAGGAATCCGCATCAGATTCCAGGGCATATTCCCTCTACCACCACAAGACACCCTGACATCACTGAGTTTCCTGCTTCTCCAGGAATCTTTGTGCACCACCGTCACCACCTTGACTGGACCAGTAAGTCCTTACAGCACCTGACGCAGATCTCTACCATCCACCCTCAGGGAGCCCTTTTCAACTTTATCTCCTGCTACCATCTCTTTTATTCCAGATGGACCTGGCTTTCTCACCAGTCCTCAAAAACTCCTCCCTCAGCTCTTAGTCTGGGCACAGCTATTTCACTTCTGCCTGATAGTATTCTACCAATCCCAGTCTAGGGCCATCCAAAAATGTAAACACAATTCTAGTGCTACTTACTACCTGAAATGACATGAAGCTTCATTATCTGTCACTAATGATAGCTGCACAATTTAGGAAGGACTGCAAGTTATGTCCAGCAACAATGCATCTCAAACATAAATCATTTCACGCCCAAACATAGGAGACGCAGGAAATAAGACCACATCTGCAGTATAGTAGTTTCAGCAAATACAAACTAATAGGAAGGATCAAGCTCTCAAACTGAAAGAACATTCACGTTTTTATGTAAACCAAGTAAACAGGACAGAGTCCAAACACACCAACTAACAAAACTCTATCAGCTAAGAGAAAAACCAAATTCCCTCAGATGCAAGGTGGGAATGACTGTGCCACACTGACCCTACCTAATCTACCATATTCAACATATGAAGCTAATCACACGCATTCTCAAACTTCCACTGGGACCATCCATCTAGTCCTCACCAAAATCTGCATGACTGTGGCATAGAACACAATTTGGGGAGTATCTAAACATGAAAATGAAGAACAGGATGTTCCAGTTACAATATTATCACGTAAATATAAAAGGATTTCCACCCCAACTGAAAGTGGAAACTTTCTAGGGAAAGGAAAAATTCTGTTTTGTGCAGGTCCTATGTGTGAGTGTGGTAAGTGTTGTGCGTGTGTGTGTGTGTGTGTGTGTGTGTGTGCAGGCACAAATCAATGAAATTGACCTTGACAGTAATCCATGCAAGAAGCAGGTATTGCTAGAAGCTCCTTTTCTGCACAATGCAAGTGATTCTGACAAATACCAACTGCTCTCAATTTTGCCATGCACACATGAACATAGGGAGCAATACAAAAAGCAAAGAAAGTTATCACTAGAACTATTAAAATAATCACAGAAGAACAAAAATAAACAATATCTAGTGGTTATAAATTCATTCCTAATAACCACCCTAAACACACCCATTTAAAGAATACATCCAGATGCCAACGCAGAGTCTGCAAAGCATCTCTGAAAACAACTGGGTTGAGAACTAGCGTTTAAGGAAAAGAACGTTAAAAAAAATGGCAACATTAAACAGGGGCTCTGTAAATATCAAAAGAATAGGAGTAAGATTCAGAAATACTTCTCAGAAAACTCTGGGGACTCTGATAAGCATGATAAGCCTCCTATTCAACTGTTTCACAGTGACACAGACAAAGCATGTTGAAACAATACACAGGTCATGTGGCTCATGTGCAACAAAATTAAGCATCCCATAAAGATCTCGTGGCCCTGTGACAAAACTAAAGAGAAGTTAGCTGCATGCTACAAAGATACAAACATTTCATTTTAGGTCTCCATCTCCTTCTCCATCCTCTTGGATGGACTTTTTGATACGAAGCAACATGGTGGTCAGCCACTGATCCAAGCGTGATATTGAGTCAAATTCCTTCACCTAGTTTAAGAAAAGAGGAACAAGAATTATTCCTCGGAAATGTATTTAAACAAAAACAGTGACCCAAGCTGTTTAAAGTATTTTATAGCAATAATCCAACTTCTTAGATTAGAAATTATTCATTCTAGTTTGTAATTTTCCTCATTAAAAACTGCTTAATTTTTCATTATTCTCTTACTGATTTGGTGTTAGCAGTGGCAAGTTCCTGTGTTTTTACTATTGCTTTGTATGTTCAGTCTATGTAAGGCAAAAATTCAAAACAGCCATTTAAAACTAAAAAGGTACCTTCAATGTGACAGAAGAAACTCAACACAGTATAAGAATAAGAAAGGAATATGGAAAAATTAAAATTTGCTGGCTATAGAAAAAGATGATCAAAGAATCAGGAGGGGGGTAAGCATTCTGATGAACGGAGAAAAGAAAAATTAAAATAGGATGAACGAGCTAAGTTAAATAAGAAAATATTCCCTCCTACTTTTGCTTCAGGACTGTAATGAACACATTACAGAATGCTTCTGAAAAGTTTCTCTGAACACAAGATAGCAAAGGATGAGAAAAGAGAAAAAAGACAAACATGAAGGAAAAAAATCCTCTTTATTTTATCCCATGAATATAACAAATTTCACTACTTCATTTTTATACTCTAAACAGTATTTCACTAATCCTAGTCTACACTAAATAATGGATATTGTTTTCAAAAGAAAACAATGATACAAAAAAAAAGCAGTACATGTTATTTGCTTTTGAAGTGGCCTCACAGCTAAATTAGTTTTGAGCATAAGTCAAGAAAAAGGGCGGAATACAAGTGGAATTTCAGCAGGGGTACTGATTAATGGAACTGTCTGATTTGTGACACATATAAAACATGACCTTTGGAAAATACAAACGAGATATGCCAGAATCACAAATAAATGCTCAGAATTTATACAAAAGGCAAAGAAGATTCTGTAACTTAAACCTCTAAAATATGTACCACATCCCAGAAGGTCTAACTTACTGCTTCAGTGTAAGCTTCACTGTTCTGTTCTTCATGAGCTTCTAGAAGTTTCTGACAGCATTAAAAAAAATGAAAAAATATTTTATTTTGAAAAGTCCTATTTCTGAATGGATACTTTAAAATACAGAAATAGCCTAGTATCATATTAACTTATGTTGCTATATATCCCAAAAAACTGGGAAATACTCAAATATAAGAATTACTTTTCAGGGGTAGGGGCATGGTAAATGGTAGACCACCTGCCTAGCAAGTACAAGGCTCTGAGTTTAAACCCAATACCACCCCTCCCAAACAAAAACAAAAAACAACAACAACAAAATTACCTAAGTCAAGGATCTAGCTTTGGTGCTCGTATTTCTGAACTGCCTGTTTCAGAACACAATGCTTATGGCCCTTACCCCCTTGGCATCTGAACACCTATAATGACAAAGTAACAAAGTACCGAATCCCATCTGTTAGCAGACTCATTGATTAAAACTTCACAGTATAACCAGTTCTAGTTAGGTGCTGTACCAGAGAGCAAAGGATTTCTTCCTTAAAGTTCTATTGTTACTTACTTTCAGTAATTTACATTCTCTTGAATCAGTAAATGCTGGAAACATTTCCTCATATTTCTCAAGAGCAAGCTGAGGGAGAAAAACAGCTAATAAATGTTAGCCTTACTGAACAAGGAAACATTTTTCAACTTTCTATTCAGTAAGATTTACCTCCATTCCATTTAAGTATTTAAGAAATATGCTGTTAAACTCAACATCAGAATCAACACAGGAAACTTATTTATTTTGAATATTCAATTTCAGTTAGGAATAAATTTCTAAACTGATTTGTTTTTAATGTTAGGCTGCTGGAGACAGGCACTGTGAATGAAATCTACTTCTTAAAACCTTACTGCCATGTGTCTGCATTAATACATAAAATGGAGAAGCTCTTCCTCAACTCTGAATGCAAATAAATCACATTTAGATTATTGCTTAGGGTTAGAAGGATTCTAGAACACTTTTCTCTTTGTGACTTCCAATTCTAGAAACAGCCAATACCAAGGCTGCCCAGATCCTTGTCTCCCAGCTTTCGTTTGGCTTTGCAGCTTCTTCCATCCTCATTCTAGCTTCATTTATGAGATTAAAAAAAAAAGACAATACTATACTATTGTCCCCTAATAGCTTTAAAACAACTACTGAACGAAAACTTTAAGAGAACAGCTTTGCAGCTGCTAACATTCCAACTGGGACACATCACAGAAGAATTATTTTTAATATACGCAATTTAGTCTTGCAATTCTTGTTATTAACACCCATATGAAATGACATCAAGGAGTACTTGAGACTGGGGATTTCCTGTAGGAGGTGTGAGTGGATTCAACAGAAGAAAACATGGCTGCCAAAGTGTTTGAGTCCATTGGCAAGTTTGGGCTGGTTTTAGCCATCACAGGAGGCATGATGAACTCTGCCTTATATAACGTGGATGCTGGGCACAGAGCTGTCATCTTTGACCAATTCCGTGGAGTACAGGACTTCGTGGAAGGAGAAGGGACCCACTTTCTTATACCTTGGGTACAGAAACCAATTATTTTTGATTGCCGCTCTCGACCATATAATGTGCCAGTCATCACTGGTAGCAAAAATTTGCAGAAGGTCAACATCACACTGCGCATTCTCTTCCGGCCTGTTGCTAGCCAGCTTCCTTGGATCTTTACCAGCATCGGACAGGACTATGATAAGCGTGCATTGCCGTCCATCACCACAGAGATCCTCAAGTCAGTGGTGGCTCACTTTGATGCTGGAGAACTGATCACCCAGAGAGAGCTGGTCTCCAAGCAAGTGAGAGATGACCTTACGGAATGAGCGGCAAACTTTGGGATCATCCTGGATGATGTGTCCCTGACACATCTGACCTTTGAGAAGGAGTTCACGGAAATGGTGGAAGCCAAGCAGGTGGCTCAGCAGGAGGCAGAGAGCGCCAGATTTCTGGTGGAAAAGGCTGAGCAGCAGAAGAAAGTGGCCATCATCTCTGCTGAGGGTGACTCCAAGGCAGCTAGGCTGATTGCCAACTCACTGGCCAGTGCAGGTGATGGCCTGATTGAGCTACGCAAGCTGGAAGCTGCTGAAGACATTGCTTACCAGCTCTCACGCTCTCAGAACATCACCTACCTGCCACCAGGGCAATCTGTACTCCTCCAGCCACCCCGGTGAGGCCTATCCTCCTTGCACTTCCTTGAGCCAAATGGACCACAGCCCTCATGATTCTGAGACTCTTTTCCTTCTGCTCCCATCCCCCCAAAAAAATCACTGTGAAATTTTATGATCGAATTAAAATGAAGGAAATAAAATTAAAACCACTTCGTATCTCAAAAAAAATGAGCACATATTCATGAGGCCTCTTCTCAAAGGTAAAGTGTATGAGAAAACAGGCACAGGACTCCTTACCTTGGCATTTAATTCATCTACTATGAAGTGACAGAGGGCTGCTTTAAAGAAGTAATCCTTTGCACTGTACTTCAATAAAGGATTATCCATAGTGTTTGCCCCAACCTAGGCACAGAAAGCAGAATTAAATTTAACATATATTAGGCAAAATAATAATTCCCTATTAATTTCATCTGTTACCCTTTAAAAAGCACTTATTAGTATTTTATGTAAGTTTAGTTATAGAATATATTATTATTATTATTTTTTGGTGATGATGAAAATTGAACCCAGGACCTTTCTTTTTTTTTTTAATACATTTTTTATTAGGATATATTCATTATGGGGGGGAGTCATAGTGACAATTCCGATGAGACTTATATTGTACATTGTTTACACTGGCCCCATCATATCTCCCCCTTAATCCCTTTCACACCCCAATTAAAACAATTACAAGAGGATTCTTAGGTCTGTTTCATATAGGTATATAAAGTCCATGTACCATATACCATCACCTTAATCTCCTTCCTTCACCCTCCCCCTTCCCACTAGTACACTGACCACTCTCTCTATTTTACAGTCCTGGTTTTTGTTATTAATATTTAAGTTGATGTACAAAGGGATGTCTCAATGTATGCCCACTGTGGGTATACTTTACTTTGGTCTGTTCGACCCCTTCCATTACTCTCCCTTACCCCTTTACCTCCTACCCCCCATTTTTCAACAGAATTCAATACACACACTTACATCCTTTTCCTTCAAATCTTATATTATGTGATATTACTGATGCTCTATCATTCTCTTTTCCTTTCCCTGAGTTCCATAGAATAGTTCCACTGTTACAAACATATTCTCCATCTGAGTTTGTATATGATCATGCTTGTTTTGTGTACATGTTTATCTGTGAATCTATCTTCCATGTATGAGAGAAAACAAGTGGCTTTTGTGTTTCTGATTCTGGCTTACTTCACTTAACATGATATTCTCCAATATTGCATCCAAATATGTTCAAACCCCATGTCATTATTCCTTATGGCTAAGTAATACTCCATTGTGTGTATATACCACATTTTCTTGATCCATTCATCAGCTGTAGGGCATCTGTGGTTGTTTTCAAAGCTTGGCTACTGTGAGTAGCTGTGATGAACATCGATGTATAGGTGTCTCTACTGTATCCGGTATTAACATTCCTTTGGGTAGATGCCAAGGAGCAGTATCATATGGCAGTTCTATCTTTAGTTTTTTGAGGATCTCCACACTGCTTTCCATAGTGGTTGTACTAATCTGCATTCCCACCAACAGTGTATAAGGGTTCCTGTTTCACCACATCCTCGCCAGCATTTGTTGTTGTTATTACCCTTGATTATGATCATTCTAACTGGGGTGAGATGAAATCTAATTGTTGTTTTAACTTGCATCTCTTTTTAACAGGGAAGCTGAATAATCCTTCATGTATTTACTGGTCATTTGTACCTCTTCATTTGAGAATGCCCTGTTTAATTCTTGTGCCCACTCCTTCATTGGGGTGTTGATTCTTTGGGGGCTGATTTTTTTGAGTTTCTTGTAGATTCTGGATATTAGTCCCTTGTCGGATGAGTAGCTGGCAAAGATTTTCTCCCATTCTGTGGACTGTCTCTTGAGTCTGGTGACTGTTTCCTTAGCGGTGCAGAAGATCTTAAGTTTGATGCAGTCCCATTTGTTCACTGTTTCTCTTAGATGCTGAGTTCTGTTTAGGAAGTTGTTCCATAAACCTATCTGTTCCAGTGTATTTCCTACTGCTTCCTTGAGTTATTTCAAAGATTCAGGCCTTTTATTAGGGTCTTTGATCTACTTTGAGTTGACTTTAGTAGAGGGTGAAAGACAGGGATCTAGTTTCTGTCTTCTACATGTGGATATCCAGTTTTCCCAGGAGCATTTGTTGAAGAGGCTGTCTTATCTTAATCGTGTGTTTGGGCTCCTTTGTAGAAGATCAGTTGGCTATAGATGTGTGAGTTTATGTCTGGATCTTCTATTCTGTGCCATTGGTCTTCCTGTTTGTTTTTGTGCCAATACCATGCTGCTTGTATTGTTATGGCTCTGTAGTATAGTTTGCGTTTGTTAAGCAAGCACTCTAGGAACCAAATTATATCTCCCACCTTGGAGTATATACTTTTAACCTAATAACAAACAGTAGAATATTGCTAGATAAGACTAATTAAACACTTGAAGTGGCAACCTGTTAAAAATTACTCCAAAGGCCTCTGCTTCTAGCAAGGTGGAGAAGATACCCCTTCCCCTATTTTTCCTGGAAAGTACAACTAAAATCTCTTATCATTTTATATAAAACAAGTATCTGAAATGTAGACAGAAAAGGACTTATCAGTTAGGGACTTGAGAAACAAGGGAAAACAGTGGTGGGTCTTCTAGGTTTTCTTTTTCCTTCCTATATCCCTGATATGGAACTGAATAACCAGTAACACTGAAATGCCAGTAGACACAGACCAAAAGAGACCAGGCAAAGGCCTGCTCTCTCTGACCATAGGATTAGTTAAAAGAGACATTGTTTAGACAGTAACAGCTCTATTCCAGCCAAATACCACAGAAAGGCTAGATCAAGGCACCTTTCCATCTTCCAGCTAGCATGGTGTCAGAAGAGGTCTAGCAGGGGTAAAGACTTCCACCATAACCAAATGGTAACAACCACCACCCCGACATAGTGTTGGTGAATACCGAGTACTGAATGGAGATGCTATCCACCCCTGCCCAGTAGTAATGAGGGTCTCCTTAAATATTAATGTTGGTCTAGTGGGGAGCCTGAACCTGAACTACATGCGCCCACCAGCACACATACTCCCCACCTTCCCCAGGCAAAGAAGCATCAAAGAAGGCCAGCTGGGAGAAGGCTTAAATAAGATCCAACATCCTCACATGTGAAAATGGCTTTTCGGAGTGAAAATCACATGTAATACCAAAAAACATAGAAAGATCTAAAGCTAAAAACAAAGAGACAATAGACAATTTCCAGATGACGGAAATGTTAGAATTATCACACCAAGACTTTTAAAGGAGTCTTCACAAAAATGTTTCAATGAGCAATTACAAAAATGTTTGAAACTAATAAAAAAAACCATCAGGGCTGGGATGTTTCTCAATGGTACAGCATTTTCCTTGAATGTCCAAGGCCCACCATGGGTTTATTCCTAGCACTGAAACAACAAAAAAACCATCAATCAACAAAGAAACATACAGTTACAAGAACACCCTCCTGCCACACACACACAAACTACAGCAGTAACTAACATAGTTAAACTGGTTGTTCTCATCAGCAGAAAGGATGAGACAGAGGAAGGAATCTGTGAATTGCATGGCTTGAGAATAGAAATTATGCTAATTGAAAAACAGAGAAGACTGAAAAAAAAATGAGCAGAGCATCACGGACCTAGGGAACTAAGACAAGGTATAGCATTCATGTTGTATGAGTTCTTGAAAGGGAGGAGAAAGAGAAATGACTATAAAAAGTACTTGGAGAAATTTGGCAAGAAACATAAACCTACAGATTTAAGTAATGAAACCTAAACAGGACAAAACCAAAGACATGTATCGGAGTCACATTATAATTAAACTTTTAGAACCTGAAGAAAAAAAAATTTGAAAAGCTGAGAAAATAACACCAACAGACATGGGAAAATCTGAGTGACAGTACAGTTCTTATCAGAAACTGTGGAGGCCATAGACTGCACATTTGCAAACTGAAAGAAAAAAACTATCAACACAGTCTTATACTTTAGGAAAACGCTTTATGAATGAAGGGGAAATCATGATGCTCCCAGATAAAAAAGCCTAAAAGAATGGAAAAAGTATGTTCTTTACATAGAAGGGAAACAAGAAAAGAAGGAATCCTGGAACAGGAGAAAAGAAAGAACATAGAAACCAAAATATGATTTTTTTTTTTGGGTGGGACTAGAGTTTGAACTCTTGGCTTTGTGCCACCTCGAGCCCTACAAACCAAAATAAAGCAAAAATTTCTAATACCAACAGATGTGGTTCTAAATGTATGCATAAGGAAATATTTAACATAATTATATATTAAAGGGAGAGAATAAGGGAACATAAAATGAATGAAGATTTCTATATTTCACTGCAACTGATAAAAATGGTAACACTACTAGCCTGTGACAAATTATGTAAATATATTGTCCTGAAAGCAACCATTAAAAAAACACTATTCAAATATATTCAAAACCATTACAGAAAGCCAAGTAATCCACAAGGAAGAAGGAAAGAGAAAAACTAGAGAAACAAAGTAAGCCCTAACATATCAATGATTACAATAAATGGGTCACAAACTAGCTGGCTGGGGTCCTTCTGCTCTACCTAGATTGAAATTGTGGGGAGACAAGAAGCTCCTTCAATTATTTTGGGTCCTGGGTGTGGGGAAAGTTGCAAGCCTAGGCAACGAATGACAATGGGCACTGTCAGTGAGCCTGAGGCCTTTGACAGCTAAGGCAAGGCCCAGAGTTCTAGGTCTTGGAGGTCAGTGAAGGGTCAAAGTGTATAGCTCTCTTGGGTCTTGGGCTGGGACCAGACAATCCAGCTAATGTCAGACAGAGGGTGTCATCAGGTGGTGAGCTGAGCAGCCTGTTATATGGCCAAAAGAGGTTGTGACAAGAGTGTTTGTAATAATCATGGCAGTCCTTTCATGCAAATGGATTGTATTTGCACCAATCATGGCACAGTCCCTGTCACCAGTCATGGCAACCCCTCATGCAATATAAGACCGTCCCAGTCACAGGTCTGTTGCTGGGCCACCATGAAGTGCTCTCCCCTCTGGCCTGAGTGGAAATGGCTGCAGGGTCATCAATAGTTCTGAATCTTCTGGTAGCAAAAAAATCCTATCTAAGTTGTTTGCTGGGGCAGTGGCTTCTGGACCCATAGTGGTGTTTTAGGTGCTGGCATGAAGGCAGTATTGCTGCCTGGCTGGGAGTTCCAGGCAGCCCAGGCCTGGGAAAAGCCTAACAGTTGTTGAATAAGGAGTTAAATTTCCCTAGCTTCCAATATCTCAATATACTTAAAGGAAAAACAAACTTTCAAAAGGGCACTTACAACCAAGGCTTATCAGCAACAGTTCTCTAACAGTATTTAGTAATGCTTTTACAATGCTTAACTCCTGTCCCAGTGCCCTAGGGACAGTCCGGTCCCTATAATCTATTTTTTGTATATGTAATCTAAAATAGCTAAAAGAAAGATTGGCAGAGGAGATTTTAAAAAGCGATCCAACTATAAAAAAACACAATTATTAACTTCAACTATAATGACGCAGGCAGGCAAAAGACACATAAATATTAATCAAAAGAAAATAGAAGAGGAAATAAAGTAGAGAAAGGAGACTTCAAAGCAAACAAAACTGCCAAAGACCAAAGAACATTATATAATAATAAAAGGGTCAATTTATTAAGAAAAACAGCAATCCAGAGCTGCATGTGTACCAAGCAAAGATAGGTAAAATGAAAGGAATGGAAAGATGGGTAAATCCACAATGACAGCTGGAGACATCAACACAAAGCTCTCAACAATGGGTACAACTAACAAGAAAATCAGCAAGTATATGGAATCTATTAGTCCACCAACCAACAGGACCTAATCAACACTTAGTATGTGCCAACACAGACCATATTCTAGGTCATAAAACAACCTTCGACAAATTTATAAGAATGGAAATCTTACAAAGTATGTTCTCTAGCCACAATGGAATCAAACAAATCAGCAAGAGAAAGAGTACATGAAAATCTCCCAAACTCAGAAATTAAAACACTTCTAAATGACCCATAAGTCAACAAAGTCTCAAGGGAAAGCAATACATATAATGAACTGAATTAAAGTAAAAATACACACTCAAGGAAGTGCTGAAAAGATAACTAAAATCATTAGAAGTGCATACATAACAAAGAGGAAAATCAGTAAGCTAAATAAATGTCCATCTCAAATGCTCAGGGGGAAAAAGAGGAAAAATATAAATCCAAAGAAAGCAAAAAGAAGACAAAAATCAATAAAAACAAAAACCATAGAAAGAGAAAACTACTGAATTGCCAATAATAATAATAATAATAATAATAATAATTAGCAAACCTTTATTTAAATAACAAGAGGACACATGTGACTCTACATACATTAAAGGTTCAGGAACAGGCAAATCCAGAGGGACAGAGAGCAGACTGTGTTTCCCAGGGACTGGGAGGAGAGGGAAACAGGGTACTGGGCTTCTTTTGGGAGTGACGGAAACGTTCTACAATTAGGTTGTGGTGATGGTTACACAAACTTGTGAATATACTAAGAAATACCCAGGTTATTCATTAAAAGGATGTATTATATGATGTGTGAATTATCTCTCAATAAAAAGAAAAATTAAAACATGGAATGTTAAAAAAAGATCCAGATTGACTTATATCCAAAAAGACAACAGTGTTCTCACCTGCTCATAGATCTCAATGGCTTTCTGGTACTGCTCCAGCTGTGCAGCATAGGCTGCCACCTTCAGCAGACACTTGTTAGCTGAGCTGCAATCAAGAAGAGTGTAAGTAACAACCCAAAGGAAAAATAAAAAGATTTGTGCACATGGGTCCCACACACGTGCATTTGGTACAAAGAGAGTGTAAATGAAGATGATTTATCTTTTATCACACATAATAAAACCCATTTACTAATTTTAAGAAAAATAATACTTGCCTGTTGAAAAACAAAAAAATAATACTTGCCTGTTAGATTCTTCTCCTTTGTAGTAATCAGCAGATTGTTCATAATGTGCAATAGCCTGAAAAGACATGAATTTCACTCAATAACAATTCTTTTGAAAAGCTGAATTTAAAAACATTTGCAGCCAGAGACAGTGGCACCTGTAATCCCAGCTACCTGGGAGGTGGAGGTAGAAGGATCACAGTCCAAGCCTGGCTGAGGCAAAAGCCTGTATCTAAAAAACAAATTAAAAAGAAGCAAGAAGACTAGGGTGTGACTCAAGTGATAGAACTCTTGCCAAGCAAGCATGAGGCCTTCAGTTCAATTCCCAGTACCACCAAAAATCAAAAACATCTACATTTGCATAGGTATTTTATCTAAAACTCAAACCTATTCCAGTGGGAAATATTTCAGTTTGGCCCATTTTCTTTGAGGAATACAAGAAAGCATACACTTCTAGAAGCCTCCTGGTGGCAGAATGCTTGCTAGTCACCAAAATCTGTTCTCTCCCTACCTCACAGCAAACTACACTATTTTCCCAGCCTTCACTGTGGTTAAGATAGCCATATAGCAAGTTCTCTCTGATGGAATGCAAACAGACATACTGTGAGCTATTTCTAGTCTTGGGACATACATCTTACTTTGCATCCTTTTCTAGGTCTTTGCCTATAATGGCAATGACCAAGTCTAGTGTGGTATTACAAGTCACAGATGGAAGATAGCAGAACTCCTGTCAGCTTACTTCCTAAATAACTCCAAGGGGCAGAATGTATCCTAATCCTTGTGTATCCAAACTGCCAACCCTACAACAGCTACAGTGGATTGTTATTTTGGAGAGATAATGAAGCCTTGTTGAGTTTGAAGTCTACAATTTACTATAGTAGTAATGTCTACTCTCACTAATACCACGTCTGATCTTTATGAAGGTGTTGACTTCCATCTAAAATGTGCGACACCTAATTACCAGCAAAGTGGAAAGAAAACAGAGGATGCAGGCCAGAAAGCTAGAAGCTCTTGTCATGTTGTAGCAGGAGACTCAGTGAAGCCAAGCAACAGGACAATGGCCAGCATACAGAAAGCAGATTAAAGCTGCTAGGCACAGGAATAAGAAAACAAATAAAAACAAATTTGGGAACTATGTTAAAATACTAGTTAGGTCTTTTTACCTGGCACAAGGAGTGGATCAGAAGCAAGAAGACCTGGCTCCTAAGGCTCCCAGACCCCCACCTTCCTATAGATGGTATTGGTAATTACCATCAGAGCAGAGCCACCTATGAAGTCACAGAATAAAGGTGGAAGAGCCAATACTACCCTAGTCTCTGGGCTGCAAAACACTCTTACAACTTCCTCCTTAAGAGCTTTATAAAAATAGACATTTCTATTATGTTTTAATGAATGTTTGGGTACACTTATTCTACCCTAACTAATAATGCTCCTCAAACATTTTCTCAGTGTTATAATGGGAGAAAAACTAGAAACAATTTAAGTGGTTAAATGCAGTGGACTACTAGACTATGATTAAGGTAATCATGAAAAGTATTAAGATGGAAAATTTTTAAATTTAAAGCATAGGTATAAAAGCAAAGGTATGCAAACCTCTTGCTTTGCAAATATAAAGCCACATATAGAAAGCACTGGGCAGAATATATTCTTTGGAACTCTTCTCAGAGCTGTCACATATATACATATGGGATTACCTGATGAAAGTGCATCTTCTCCCACTGAACAAAAGGCTCTGTGAGGGCACATCCCAGGAAAATTGTTCATCATCACATCCCTGAGCATACTATGCTGCCTAGCATATGGTAGGTGCTCAGTAAATAAATGCTAAGTAAATTAAACACAAAAGGCATCACAAATGAAAGCCTCCATTGAACTATTGCCAATATTTTGATTAATTTGGAATGCCAGGAAACAGTTTTTCAGTAAATTTATGATTAATCAAGAAAAACCTTCTTGGGGCCAGGGGTGTAGTTAAGTGGTAGAGTGTGTACTTAGTATGCACAAGGCCCTGGTTTTAATCCCAGCACTCTCAACACCCCCAGCCCCCACCAAAAACATCATTCCATTCTCTAAAAGTATTTAACACTGTTTTTCATTGTAATACAAGGAGTAAGGTATGAAAAACATAACCAAATCTTTCTGTAAAGAGTATCAAATTATAAAATCTCTTCCTGGGGCGGATGTAGCTACTTAACTTTCCTAGTTTTTACCCGAACTCCACAAATAGGTTGAATTGAGCCATATAGAACCCCACCACAGTGTCTTGGAAGAGGGAAAATGGCCAAATGTTGACAATTTGATTTAAGTAATGGTATTGGTTTAGCAAAATGTTAGAGCTGTAACATACTACATATATAGTAAGAAACTTTGTTTTTTTTAACAATGCTAATCAAACCAATCATCTAATCCATGGTTTTCACAAGTTTTGAAAAATTCTACATGAAAGGAAAGCATATCCACTGCTTTATCAGAGAAGTTTCAGAGAAAACAGTGGCCATACATCCAGTGTGGAATCTTAACATGGAATGAAATTTACCAGGCACAAGCAAGCCCTTACATGCTAAAACTCAGTTGCTGTTTCTAACAATTTCAAGTGTAAGAGTCCACTGTGTAGGAGAAACAGCCTTAAGGAGCCTTAAAATGGGACCAATTCTTTTAGAATAAATATCCCCGAATCAGGACCTAACATGAATCTGCCATATTCACCTATCCTATGCTGTAACAAATAGTATTAAATAAGATTCTTCAAGAGCTGAAAACAAAAACAAGTTATAGCTGTTCTGGGTCATTTACTACATCACCTAAAGGACCGGTTTATTGTCAGGTTCAGTGTTTTACCTCTTGAAGTTAAAAGAAATAATGTGAGTTTATGAAATGTCACACTTCACTGCCCAATAGCTACAATCTGTGAAAGAATAAGAGGATAAACATTGGGTAGTATTAAAATGGAATAACCTATTTGTAACAAACCAGATATAAGGTACCTTGTGGTAATAAATTTTTCAAACATAAACTGAGTATGTAGTTACATACTACTGACCACAATATTGTTAGTCCAACAGGGAAAGTAACTGTGCGTGTGTGTGTGTGTGTGTGTGCGCGCGTGCGTGTGTGTGTCTTTTGAGACAAGGTCTCCTTGTATAGCCAGACTGGCCTTGAATTTCCAGTCCTCCTGTCTCTACCTCCAGAGAGCTGATATTTCTTACAGACATGTCCCACTACTCCAGAACATACCACAGTGAAAAAGGTGCCACTTACAGGCCAATTCACAGAATAGCAGAAACACAGGAGATAATGGTTTGAGAAGTTACCATGACAAATCAAAGGGAAAAAGATTGTGCTACAGATCATTTTATCCACTATCAATCTTGTGTAGAGCCATGTGAAGTAGCTGCCTGACACTATGCCCTGGTGGCAAAAATGGCACAACACTGTGGGCTCTGGACCCAGAGTTCTCTTCTGATTGCCCCAGACTAGGAAAGTAACCCAGGAAGATGTCTACATAGTGCTTGTCCTCCATAAAGCTCACTCAACCTCAATGAAGATACTGTGCCTATACCAGACACTCTGACTAAATAAAGACCCCAGCCATAACAATCTGTCTCCCTTCTGTCCTATCACTATCCCACATCAAGGACAACTGAGGGTTCAGGTCCAGACTCCATTACCTTCTTCTAGGATCACAGATAACCTTCTAGAGAGAAGGTTCACATGCACAGGTCACTGCATGGGGTGGTCCTGATTTGACCAAGATGAGTTTCCTCAGAAAAGAATGATAATGGGGGTGGGGAGTGGTGAATGTATGTAGCAACCATAAGCAAATTTTGTGCTGAATAACCAAAAGGTACGGTAAGCATGAAGTAAGAAGGACCTCGCCCTTCATGTTAACCATGCCACTCCAACTTAAGTAACGCTTCAGATATGCTTCCCTGAGCCATATGCTATGCCACGGATAGGGACGTGGTTTTCTTACTCAAGAATTATTTGATTAGGGCCTACTATGTTCTGGGTCCTTGGCATCCATCAGAAAAGCAGAAGCAAATCTGTCTGCTAACATGGGCATCAAGTATAGTAGAGGACAAGGGACAAATACCAATAATGATGACAGAGTGTATCAAAATGTATGCTGAATGGCAACACTTGTGCTGCAAAACAAAACAAAACAGGGTGAGGCAAGGAGGTGCTGGTCCTGGGCAAATATTCTTGAAGGGCTGAAGATAATATTTTAAGTGGGTGGCTATGATAGACTTTATGGAATAGATGATAAAAGGACACAGGGAGGTTACCCATGTGGGCTTGAAGGATGTGAAGAGTTAGCTACTTATACATGAGACAAAGAATTTGGCAGGCAGAGAGAATGGCCAGCACAAAGGTCCTGAGGCAGCTGGGTATGATGGTACATATTTGCAATCCTAACACAAGGGAGGCTGAGGGAGGAGAATCTCAAGTTCCAGGACAGCCTAGTCTACATAGTGATACCCTGTCTCAAAAAACAGGTCCTGAGGAAGGAGCACATCTAGCATGTTAAGGAGCAGCAAAGAGGTCATGATGGCTGGAGCAGGGTAGAGAAGAGGAGAGTAAGAAAAATTTGAGGTCCCAGAGGTACAAGAGGAGCACAGCACAGGGTGGGAGGAGTAATTCAGTAGGGCCATGGAGTTCATGTGCAAGGCTCCAGCTGTTCCTTTAAGTGAAGCTAACACCAACAAAAGTCTGTAAGCAATGACAAACAGAGTCTGCACACTACTGATAAGGACCACTTTAGCTGCTCTGTTGCATGAGAGCTCAGGATAAGGAGGAGGCAGTGGAAGCAAAAAGACCAGTTAAATTCCTGCAGTGACCAAATGAAGCTGGGGGAAAGGTTGTAAGAAATGCTGAGACTTGGGAGCAGGAAGGGCAGGTCCCACAGAAACTGCTCACAGGTTAGATGTAGGGTGGAGAGAATACAAGGATGTCTGACATTTGGAAGAGCACTTGGGGTGGCCCTTGAGATCAGAATCTAGTGTCAGACCTGTTGGCTTTGAGATGACTACTGGACTTAAATGGAAAGGCCAGCAGACAGGTGAATATAGGGACCCACAGTTTGGAGTCAAGTCTGGGCTCCAGACAGATTTGTGAGTCACCAACACACAGATGACATGGAAGCAGCATTGCTGAGTGAGTATGTAGTTTGTCTCTTCAGATTCCTTCCGGTGCCTCAGAGACTTTAGCTGTATAGCTGAAGATTCTCTTTATCATACTAATGTTCTGACATGAATTAAGAGTGCAAACGATGAGTGAGTTTGGTAAATCTTAACCAGCTCTCTTGTCTTCGACACTCATTCCAGAAAAATAACTCCTCCACTGAGCCAGTCACTCCCAGGAAGCCTCCGAGAGGCCATCTGTGATCACTGCATCATTCAGTCAGTTGGGAGAGGAGAGGGCTCCTGGTGTCCACCTGTCCACATGCTTTGCGTCGAGGAGCTGTGCCCAGTGCTTACCTTCTCAATGTCCACAAGTTCAGTCTCATAGATCTCAGCAATAGTAATGTGATGCTTGGCTGCGATTGTAAACCTTCCCTAGGGGGAAAAAAATCCAGAGTCATATATCCGTTTAACCTATTTGAATGCCAATCAGTTTGGGAACAGAAAAAGAAAAAAATAAAAGCATACAACTCTAAGCCGCCTCAAAGACTCCACCCCACAGCCACTCAAGGAATGCAATGTCTTACCATGTCTGTGTAAATGTCGATGGCTGCATTTAAGCAGTTGATAGCCTCTGAAGCGTGGGCATTTAAGAAAAACAATGAAAAATCCATTCAGTCAAAGAGGGTTCAGGTGAGCCTGCTTTCTTGGCTGTTATTAGACAGTAGTAATGTTCAATTTGGGATAGGGTGGAGGGTGGGCAGGTCAGTTAGTGAAAAGCAAACACAAATCATGTACAAGTCCAGATTCATGAGCATGGTTTTGTTCCCAGAAGTTACAGTATAATTTAAGGGAATGTGGCTGGAGAAACACTGGCTCAATTATTCTTATGAGGATTCCATCCAGGTGGCAGACTGTATTACAAAGAAAACAAGATCATGGGGATTGTCACCAACACTGATAACTTATACCTGCTAATACATAAAGTAAATGCATTTTTCACATTTTCACTAATATATTTATATCTTTTGGAAAATGGCATTACTTCACAAGAAAAAACCACTTCAATAGATTCTACTCTTTATGCAGCCAAAATCAAAAACACTGGAAATGCCCATTTAGACAATTCTTAAGTGAAGTCAAATGTGGATAATGCTCAAAGATGCTAACATATTAATTTTCTAGAACAGTGAGCTGAAAGGTCTCCTCTATTACAAAATGGTGGTGTATACACTGCTGGCATGCGATTGACAACTCCAAATTTATTGCTTTTGATTTTAAAGAGGCAGCAATAAGGAAAAGCTAGACTGAAAAAGTAGAAAGTTAAGCAAAATAACAAAATCCCCCCCAACTATATAAAATATATGGATTCATTGTTAACATTTAAGGTATTAACACAAAATACACAAAAATAGAGAAACAAATTATCTATAATTCCACTCAAACCCAGAATTAGTATTTGAACGCACTTTTCCTTTCAGTGTTTTTGGATGCATTTCTATGCACACAAACTTTTTCTGAAGTTGAGATCATACAATATTCATTCAGTCTCACATGGTTTTTAAATCACCATGTGAACATTTACTATGCCACTGAGGATTCTTTGAAACCAGGGATTTGGTTTTTTTTGTTTGTTTGTTTGTTGAGGTAGGATCTTGCTATGTAGCCCAGGCTGGCCAGGAACCCTTGATCCTCCTGCTTTCATTTCCCAAGTGCTGGGATTCAGGCCTGCACCTCTACTTCCAGTTTGAAGCCAGGAATTTTACTGCCTGCAGCATTCTAAAATACTGATGTATTTTAAGTCTATCATTCTATCCCTGCTGCTCACACAGGCTTTGCTCAGCTTATCATGTTTGGAAATAAACTGATTAATCTTTACACAAAAGCCCTTGAAGATATCGTTTTTCTTTATGATGTATTCACATAAAAGTTGGGATTTTTGTGTTAAATAAAATGTACTGCTAAAAGAAAAAAGGGGTACTCAATAGTAATCACACATTGTGGGAGAAAGGATATTAATATATATAATTGCTAACCAATACTTTTCTAAACAAAAAAGTAACATTTCCGAAATTTTACAACTTTTAAATACCCAATTTCATTCCTCAAGACAAATACTTTGAAACACATTCTTAAAAGAAGTCTTAGACAAAATTAAAGGTAATTTTCCAAAGATTCTCCAAAAAAGCAACATAAATGGAGTTTAAGGAAATTGGTGTTGACAATGGACAGGATAAATTTGAAATACCTTCTCTTCATAAAAGCCCCCAAATGATTAAAAATTTCTTAAGCTACCTAAATTTCTTTATTATGCCAAAATATAAAAATTCGTCTTTACCAGGACACAAAAGGACACGACATTGATCTAGACACTGAAGGAAACATTGGCTAGTCAATTACACACAGAGGCGGGTGAACTGCCTTACCTTGAGGATCTGCCTTTTTGTAAGCATTCCCGGCATCCACAAAGCTAGTAGCGGAGTCATGTTTGCTCTGAAGCTGCATGTGGAGCTTGGCAGCCTGACAAAATGCATTTCCTGCAGCTAAAGAAGATGACCCGGTTAGATACAGTACAGCCCTGGCTTTAAGTGCTGGCCCTACCTACAAAAGTTATACTTCCCTAAGGAAAAGCACTCCAGTCAGAGGCACATGGAAACTGGAGCATAAGGGGAGTGAGCAGGAGATGAAGTCACAGATAGAAGAAGACAGTCATTGAAAGTTACTATAAGGACATCAGCTCTTATTTGGAATGACTTATCTGACTTACCTCATGTCACTAAGACTGAGGAAAGTGCAAAAGCATGGGGGATGTCAAGGAGCTAGAATGACAGCATCACTCAAGGCAAGGCTGGGGGACAAGATACATGAAAAGCCTCCTTCATTATGTAAATGGTAAGCAGTCTTTCTGAAATGGAATTTCCAAAGAGTAGAATATCTGACCACCAGACAAAATGGGCAATTGCACTTTTTACCTATGATTACAAAGCTTAAACATTAAAGAAAAGATGGGATGGGATGCTGGGGCAACACTTTCTTCTCCATTTTTTTAATACAATATAATGTAGACATAAGTGTATTTTGAAATCTTAACATTTCCTTTTTAACTAAAGCCCTACCTAAAATTTAGCTTAAAACCATTTTCTCCTATGAAGTGATTTTAATGTATCTGCATTAAAGGCATATGAGGAAACAGACAGCTTACAGAAGGCAAAGCTATAGTCATCACACAGCAGCTGTAAGCCAGAGCTAGACCCAGGTTCCCTGCTTTGGTCTAAGGTCATCTCCATGTTCACTGCAAAAGAACGCTATCACCAACTGAGCCATGAAAAGTCTCTTTTTCCAAGGGGCATGTGGATTTCCCGCCCCCCAAATCAGTGACAGAAAGGGCCATTCACTCAAGATCAAATGAAAAGAATAATCCTGCCAATTTTATCATGTGGAATTTCACATTATTTCACATTATTTTAAGAAATAACAATTAAACCAGGCATAGTTGTTTATACCTGTAATTCCAGCACTCAGGAGACTGAGGCAGGAGGATGGTGAATTGAGGCCAGCCTGAGCTAAACACTGAGCCCTTGTCTCAAAATAGCCCTCTCCAAAAAAGAAAATTATGATGAATCTGCAGAAGTTCATGTAAATATTCCCCACTGTCACAGATCTCAATGGATTTCCAATCTCCTATCTCTGATGCTTAGGTAAAGACAACCTGGCATTTCTACTTATCCTACCAGTTTTCAATAATGAATTATATAACAATAGTTATTCATTATAGTACCTTATTTATCTGAGCACATTAGTAAGCAGCAAGGGTTACTCTTCTTAACTCCAAGTAATTTTAGCTTTTAACTTGCAAGCCTACTGTATTAGGTGGCTTAAGGAAACAAAGCCACTGTCCCCCTGTGCTTAAAACTTTGAGGCAGGTTTCAAAAGCTCAGTTCACTTAGATTATTGTCCTTTCGGCACTGACAACTGTCATTGGGGCCAACCGTCTCACTCTTCAAGGGGAATACAAACAGTCATTTCCTCCTATAAAATTATTTTAAAGTATTTGCCTGGAAAGCAAATAAATTAAAACTTTGTACATACCACTCCAATTCTTAGCCATCTTGAACATATTTGCAGCTCTGGTATACATTTCACAAGCCTCTTCTATTCTTGTGTTTCCTCTAAGAAAAATTTAAACATGAAGTTGTATTTTATTAAATAACCACTCACCCACTTTATTAAAACAACCTTCCCTCAAATTACAAACATTTCTGGGGGGAGAGAATAAGTACTGGCATTTTGAACGCAGGGAAATAATATATTTAATGAACACTTACTATATGCCAAGCAAACACTACAAGATCTTTACAGATCTTCAAAGGAGATACAAATGCTATACTCCAGATGAGAAAACTAATGCACATAAATGGCAAAGTTACTACCCAAAGCCTCTCGGCAAAGACACCACAAAAATGAGACTCAAATATGGATCTAATTGAATCTAGATCTTTTCATGTTTTTATAAAAACTCAAGTTTTAAATCAGTCTGGGTAATTAGAAGTGTATTTCTCAAAGAAGATTAACTTGAAAGGACAAAGATATCTTTACCTTATTTTTCAAGAGTTTAGTACTATGTTCATTCAGAGTTAAAAAATAAAACCAAAATCTGAGGGCAAGGCATTGTGGCACAAGCTTGTCTCTGGAGGCAAAGGCAGGATGACTGAGAGATCAATGTCAGTCGGGCTGATGTGCAGTCTACAACCAGCATGAGCCAAATAATGAGACCTTGTCTCAAAATAATAAAACCAAAACCTGAACCAGAGCTTGTGAAAAAGTGCCACACTGTCCTATTGCTGTATTATCTGTCAGTTCTGGCAAGGGACTCCAACACTGAAGGGACTTCAAGATCCAGCCTTTACTCCGCAGCAAAAGTCATTTTACAACATTCTGAGAACAGGGCACTTCATTGTTGTTTCAATACATGTAGTTTTGGAAAGTTATTTACCTGATGGCTGATTCTACTAAAAGCTAGCTATAGATGCTCAGAAATTTTTCTTCCTCTCTCTCTCTCTCACTGGAGCTTGAACTCAGGGCTTCACTCATGCTTGGCAGGTACTCCATCACCCGAGTCAATTGCCAGCCCCTTTTTTGTGTTAGATATTTTCAAGATAGAGTCTCATGAATTATTTGCCCAGGGTTGGCCTGGAATCTCAATCCTCCGAATCCCTGCCTCCTGAGTAGCTAAGATCACAAGCATGAGCCATCAGTGTCCAGTCAGAAATTTCTTCATACGTAAAACCAAATTAATTTTTTGCAATCTCCTGAGTTTTCTAATTCCACACTGGTTTTACTAAGCTAAGGCCCTTCTATGAAAGACATTTATCTATCTTGTCTACATTATAAATATAAAATAACCAGAGGAAAATCAGGACCCAGGAGACTCTAACTGTACAGCATACACAATGAGGAATTCACAGTGGAGCATGGACAAGGATTCAGAGACTTCATATGATATGAACATGAGCAAACACATGTGGCAAGAATTCAATAAGCTCCAAACTCTAGCCAAAGGACATGGAGCAGTGTCAGTGAGTCCTAGTGCAGAGTCAAGGTGGACCGCAAAATAGTGAGGCTCAGGTACGAGTTGGATAAGATCCTACTAGCTACTAACAGTTTGACACTGGACTAGTTCTTTAAGTTCTCTCCTTGGTTTCTGTACATATTAACTAAGAACATTATCTATACTTCTGGGGTATTATGAAGATCGAAAAAGTAATCCATATATAGTGCCCTGTGGAGCTTGACTTCATTTAAGCCACAATCAATGGATTAGCATGGCCAAATAAAGAACATATGAGAGTGGATTCTCTCTTTTACTCCTCTGCCACATGAGAACATCACCTTCATCACTCCCTTTAGACTTCTGCAGTGTAAGGACACTGCAAAAAGCTCAGATACCAGATGTCAATGCTTTAATCTTATGCTTTCCAGCTTCCATGATTTTAAGAAATTTCTATCCTTTATAAGTTACTCAGTCTCAGGTATTCTGCAACAGCACCACAAAACACACAAAGACACCTAAAGCTGGGAGTGTTTGCAGAACACAGAGGGGACAATGACAGATAAAGGGTGCATTGTTCCTTTTAGGATGAAGATTTTCTAAAATTGTTGTGATGGTTGTACAGCTATGGATATGTGAAAAATAATTGAATTGTACATTTTAAATGGATGGATTATATGGTAAGTGAATTACATCTTAATAAAGCTGCTACTCCCATCCCCCAAATAAAAAAACCTTTGGGGGCTATGTCACACAGTGAATTACAAGATGATAACAAGCTATACCAAAAAGAACCAGAAGAAAAGCTTTCTCTCATATACTTTTTTTCTCTTCAAAACTGTATTAAAAAACAAATTAGCTAATAGGTTTCCCCAGTGGAAAATTCCTAGCATGAGAAGTTTCTCAATTTTAGCCATAGCTCCATGGAGCAAACAAGGGCTAGTTACATTCTTGTGTCTTATTTTTCTAAAGAATACCAGGAATCTTGAACTTTAATTACAGTGCAATCATTCTTATTAAAGGCTTCTAAATAAAACTAGTTAATTAAAATGTACTTTATCCTATTATCTTCAGAGGCAGACAGAGCTTAAAAAAATAACAGAACTTCTGTATTATGCTGGTTTCACACCTGGTATTTCCATGTGTTATGACATTTTCATTATTACAACAACTACAAAAGATATCTCCATTTTAAAGAAGAAAAAACAGTATCTGGGGTCAATGGCTTACCAAGGCAAGGACAGTGGAATACAGCTGACTCCTAACTTTAAATTATGTGATCTTTATAAACATATCGAAGAATCCAGCTAGACAAAGAGAACTCACCTCTCTAAAAAAGAATCACCAGAAGTATTCCCACTTTAAAAACACCAAAGATTCACTTGTCAAAATGACTACAAAGCTTCATGAAAAGATAAACTTCCAAAATCACCCTAAATGATTATTTATGAAAGTTAACTGCTACGTTTTAAGGGCAAAAATTCAGAATTCGCATTCAAATAATTCAACTGATTGCTACCCAAAGCCCCAAATAAGGGTAGTAGTTTCTTGAAAACAGAAACAAGATTCTGTGAAAGAATCTACGTTACAAAGAAATATAATGTAAGTACATGACACTAAGTTGACATGAAGAAAGCTGAGCAGAACTAAATTAACTATTTTTTGGTTATTATGAGATTCTGACCTTGAAGAATCAAACACTTTCTCCACCTGAAAGAAAACACTGGCACAAGAACTGCTACCACCCCACAGCCCCAGCTGGACATTCCCTCTCAATTCCAGCACCAAGGTGGACTCCTTCTTCCTGTCCATATTTATTGAGTAAACATTTGTTGAGATCAGTATGTGCCAGAAAACATTAAATAGAAAATATCTTGCCTACACAGGAAGGTTAGAATTTCGTGGAAAGAATATCAACCATAAGGGATGGAAGGGTGTGAGACAACATATCTAACCCCACCATGTTCCTCTGTGGTCAAAGCACCAACACTGGGGTTAGTGAACAGCAGAGCCATCAAAACCAAACAATCCTCAAATAATCTGAACTCCTGATTTTTTTTCCCTTTCCTGAATAATTGCTGCTTTGGAGCACTGTACCACACTGACAACTGTAGTACATACTATTTTAAAACTGTGGGTGGGAGGCGGGAAATACCAAAGTAGACTTGGGGGTATTAATGGCACACACATTAGGAGATACACCCAAAAGAAAAAGGTGATGACTGCTGGGGCAGAAATAAAGCTGCCTCTAAAATCACAAGATATTACAGTAAAAATATCTTAAAAAGTGATAATAACAGTTCTGTGATGATGGGCATGCACAGCCAGAGAAAAAACTGAACTCAATCATAAGGGTATCTTGAAGTGGTTTCAAGCCATGTCAAAGAAATTAAAAATAGGCCTCACTGTTGTTACAGTCTGGGACCATGCAGGGGAGTGGGGAAAGGGGTGGTCCCACACAGGACAGCTTTTTCTCCTGTTCTTTATTTACCAGTAGCATCTCCTTAGCCAGTAACCTGATCTTTGGGGAGAGGGACCAGCACAGGACCCAGCACACAAGCTCCTGACTGAATAGTGCATGATCTATCTACATTACAATTCTTTTGTTTTTGTTTTTACACAGGGTCTCACTATGTACTTCAGGCTGACCTCAAAACTCACAATTGTCCTGCCTCTGCCTCCCCAGTGTTGGGATTTGAAGCATGTGTGACTATGCCTAGCTCCACATTACAATTTTTATTTTTTCCTCTTTTGTGGTACTGGGAATTAAACCCAGGGCCTCTTGCATGACCACTGGAGCCACACTCACAGTCTCACATCACAGTTTTAAAAACATTTTCTGAGTCCCTTAAAAAATCCAAGCAAATATAGAAAATATCTAGAAAAGGAGTTGCAAATTCAATATATACTTAAAAATACCTGTGTCATATAGAACTGTTTACTTTATAATAGTATTAGCTCCAGAGGCAATTTATTTTCATCTGGTATTTCATTTCTACAATGTACAGACTGTTTTATTTCTGGGTTAAATATATTTTTAGAACAGTTCAATTTCTTTCATGAGATACAAAAAGTAGAGATTTCTGCAACAGGGGAGCTACAAAAAGAAAGGCACTTAGATGTTCATCAGTGAAAGAATGGGTAAAAAAAACATGGTACGTACACACAATGGAGTATTACTGAGCCATAAAAAAGAGCTTTTCTGCTGGGCACAGTGATTCACACCTGTAATCCTAGATATTCGGAAGGCTGAGATCAGGTGGATTGAGGTTCAAGGCTAGCTCAGGCAAATAGCTTGTGAGACTCCATCAAGAAGCCCCCTCTCTTGGGACCTTTCCCAGTTTTGTTTGTGGTACTCTTTGCTACTTTTCTATCTCAATAAACTCTCCTGCTTTACTTTAAAAAAAAAAAAAAGCTGAGCACTGTTGGCTCCCACCTATAATACTAGCTACTTAGGAGACAGAGAACAGGAGAACCACCGTTCAAAGCCAGTCTGGGGCAAACAGTTCGTGAGACCCTACCTCGAAAAAACCCATCACGAAAAGGGCTAGCAGAGTGGCTCAAGTGGTAGAATGCCTGCCTAGCAAGTGTGAGGTCCTGAGTTCAAACCTTAGTACCACC